TCAATGCAAGTGGTAGACCTGAAGAGCCTTGTTTGTGCCTATGTTTGATACCACATTACTCCTAAAATCTTAGTTGGGTTACTTGTTCAATCAAGCTTGGGTTGTTGTTTTTGTTGTTGTTGTTTCTTAGAGTAATGAGATTACTTATACTAATAGGGGAAACTGTACAAACGCATGATAAATATATTTTGGGTTTCCAATTATAGATACTATATTTTTAAATCAAATCATTGCTATTTTTATAAATAATGATGATGTTGGTGATTGGTTCTATTCTGCTTCCAGGATAAAGTGAGTGAATATAGTGCATGGGAGGAGGTAACTGTTGGGTTATAAAATAGTGAGGCTTCATAGTTCTAGATCTGAGGAAAGAAAACTCTGAAGAATGCCCAATTGTTTCTTACTCTGTTTAGGAAAGCATACTTTAGTTAACAGTACTTTTCACCTTTTCTCTTTGACTAGGGGAGTTCATCAAAGCCTTGTATGAATCAGATGAGAACTGTGAAGTGGATCCCAGCAAGTGTTCATCTAGTGAACTGATAGACCACCAGAGCAACCTGAAAATGTGCTGTGAGCTGGCTTTCTGCAAGATCATCAACTCCTACTGGTGAGCTTGTGTCCTTGCCAAGGAACCTACTATTTCCATGTGAACATCACCACAAGGAAAAGACTTGAAAGAAATCGCAAAGCTCCCCCTCCCCTAGTCCTGTCTAAAATCTAACTCTTCATTGTAAGCAGGACTTCTGAACTGCCTCTCAAAATAACCTTTTCCAGCTGTTAGGCAAGTAGAGATTGGAGGTATTGGGTGGGGTTGTTTTGTTTTGTTTAATTTACTTTTTAATATATTTGCTAGTATGGAACAGATGTGTTCATAAATTTTGATCTTTTCTCTACCACAAACAAATGGTGAGTTTGGGAACATTTTTCATGAACAACCTTTAGGGATATTATGGGGAGCTGATTTAAACCAGATAGTTAGCTAAACTAAATTTATAGTAATCCAAAACTTTGTAACTTTCAGTTTCTATTCTCCTCCTGGCCTTCTGTGACATTTCCACCTCCTGCCTGCCATTAATCAGGCTGACCCCCCATCCCTGGGTGTCCAATAGATCCTCCTCCTAGCTCAGCTCTAAAACAGACACACTGGATCAGAGTGGGGTCACTTCCACAAGTTATAACACATTCATATAGAGGGTTTGGATTTGTTTGTTTTTTCCCCTTCTGTAGTGTCTTCCCTCGTGAATTGAAGGAAGTATTTGCATCATGGAAGCATCAGTGTCTGAACCGAGGCAAGCAAGACATCAGTGAGCGGCTCATTAGCGCCTCACTGTTTCTCCGCTTTCTTTGCCCAGCCATTATGTCTCCCAGTCTTTTCAGCTTGATGCAGGAGTATCCTGATGATCGGACGTCTCGGACTCTAACTCTTATTGCCAAGGTCATTCAGAACCTGGCTAACTTTGCCAAGTAGGTGAAACTACCCTAACTCTTTAAAAAAAAAAAAACACCTGGCTTTAAAAATAAATGTATGACCTTATGGATGAAGCTGGGGAGACACATTCCCACTCCTACTAGATTTTTATTGCACTATCACTAAAAAATTTTAAGATGGAAGCAAATACTAAGTAACTCTGGTATGGACATTTAGTGAAATATTTATAACAACTGAAAATAATGTTTATAAAGGATATCCAATAATATGAAAATGATGATAACTAAATTAAAATACTGTTTGAAGATTAAATGATATATATGCTAGTATTTTAGAAGATGAAAAAAACAATACAGGTGTGACAGTATTGGGAAAAGACTGGTATTATGCTTACATTGCATGTGCAAGGCCTTGGGTTTAATTCCAAGCATCCATTAAAAAAGAAGTGTTGGGAAAACGGGCAAATAATGTGGTTACATCATCAATTGCAAATAGGCTGGCCATGTTCCAACAGGTGCTATCATATCAAGAAAAATGCAGAGGATGGACGGGTACTATGAACAATCAAAAGACAAAATGCAATACTTGAAATTTATTGGTTTCTTAATTTAGAAAAATAATGTGTAAAATTCTTTTGGGAGGGGTCCATCATGATGATTCATCAGGTAAAGACAATGTCTGTCAAGCCTGACAGCTTGAGTTTAATATTCCCAAACCTACATGGTGGAAGGAAAGAACCATGTTGGCCTCTGACCTCCACGTGTGCACCATGGTGTGCAAGCACCACCTCCCACATGCAAAATAAACAAATGTAAAGATTGTTTTCATTATTTGGGAACTAGAAAGATAGTTAAGATCACTTATGACTATTGCAGAGGACCCGAGTTTGGTTCTTAGCACTCATGTCAGGTAGCTCACAACTGCTTGTAAATCTAGTTCCAAGGGAATCAAGGGGTGCCCACACATGGATACACATATAATTCAAAATAATTTTTTATTATTTGGCAAAAGCAGTAGAATTTAATAACTGTATAAGAGATGATTCATGAATAATATTTTAAAATTTTTAATGTGAAAATAGCATTGATTTATATAAGATATTCTCCTTATTTTGAAATAAAATAGACACTAAAGTATTTAGAGGTAATAGCTGTAATTTAGTTTAAAATAGTTCTAGATATAAAATTGTATGTATTTGTAGAGAATGGAAGCAAACCTGACAAATAAGAAAAAAGCTTAACAGTCAGTTGATATAGATGGAAAGCATATGGGTGTTCATTATATAGTCTTTCAACTTTTCTATAGGCTTAAATTTAGTTTCAAAAGGTAGTTAGGAAGCCCAGAACAATGGCTCATACCTTCATTCCCTGCATTCAAGAGGTAGAAGCAGGTGGGTGTCTATGAGTCCAAGACCAGTCTAGTCTACATAGCAAGTTTAGGCCAGTGGGACTATCTCAAGGGAAGAACAGAAACTAAAGTCCTTTCAAGTTTGTTTTTGTTTTTAAGAGTATATGTATAGGGTAAAATATAGAGAGTTCCATGGTATCTGCAGTTTCAGCATCTTTCAGTAAGAGCTCTTCCAGTAAGAACCATGGCTAAGAAAGAGACACTACTATGGAATATATTTGGAAACTGAAAAAATATTATTAAAATTTATGGTTGTCTTAGTGGGCATTTGGTAGATAATTAAGGGTTGTATTATATGAGAATTTTGAAGAACAAGAGAGGAATTTTGGTCTACTTTTGAGTTTTTCAACATGGGTTAAAGTAATATTAAGAAAGAATATTTTAGCAGTTACAGCTTAAAATAAAATCATTGTGGTCACAAAATAAAAAGAAATGATACCTCTTTGTAAGTCAACTCATAATATTAATATATCTTTCCTTAATCTGTGTTCTTTCTTATTTTCTCACCTAACTCAGGTTTGGTAACAAAGAGGAATACATGGCATTCATGAATGATTTTTTAGAACATGAATGGGGTGGAATGAAGCGGTTCCTTTTGGAGATCTCTAATCCAGACACCATCTCAAACACCCCAGGCTTTGATGGTTACATTGATCTGGGCAGAGAGCTGTCAGTTTTGCATTCCTTACTATGGGAAGTAGTTTCTCAACTTGATAAGGTAAAGTAGGAGGAGGGAGGGTAGTGGGAAATGGGAGATACAGAACCTTAGTGTCCAGATTCTAAAGATCATCATGATGATAACAAACAGCCTTTCTGCTGGTTGTATGCATGCATACATACATGCATACATGCATACACACACACATACTGTACACACACACACATATGAAAACTTGCCCAGAAACTGTTATCAAATATTAGTATATACATCTTTATCAATGTATATGAAACTTCATCTGGTAATTTCTAAAGACAAGATCTTTTTTAAATGTACAGGCTCATAAAATATTGTTCATCATACTTAAGTTAATTTCACCATGGGGAAGTTATTTTTCCCACTGCGTAAGTCAGAGTTGAATATAATTTTCATCACTAAGAGTCCTCTAGCTAAGTATAAAGCATACCAATAATTTTCTTCATTCTGGATTTTACAAAGAGGAATAGATTCTGTTGTAGAAAATAATTCAGTAATCAGTTATTTTTCTGTGATAAGGATTTGTTTTCTTAAATTTTCCTATTACCTCTAAAATGTTATATCTAATAAAGAATGTATAGGAATACACTCCTTAGTAAAATTTACTTTCTAGAAAAAATATAAATGGCAGTATGTCAATTGGTACTTAAAATGTTTATAAAACCATAAATCATTCCTTATCCTCAAGAACTACTTGTACACTTTAAGAAATGCTAAGTGGATACTAAGTTGAAGTGATGTAGAAAGTAAATTCTCTCATGTGAATTTTAGTTTAACATTGTTGAACAAGTAAAGGCATTCTTTAGATGACATACCTACTCAGGCAGAGTGGAAGAGTGTCAATTGGCTGGAGCATGGAGCTAAGTGTTAGAGCACCTGCCTGGCACATTAAGACGTTAGGTTTGAATGTCAGCAAGGAAAGCACACAATAATAATTCATTGGTAGACTACCTGCCTGGCATGAATAAGAAGGCCCTGAGCTTAATTGTCAGACACACATAAACACAACACACACACACACACACACAGATAGGTAGAGAGAGAGTCTACTGATCATTAAGAAGATAAAGAAGACCTAAAGATAACCATAACTATTATCCTAAACTGCATAGTGGTTGAGGGATTCCATGAGAACCCATGAAGACAAGAATGTCATAGGAAAAAAATGACTAAGATAGATAAAACAACTATTTTAAATGTTTGTTAGATAGCTACATCAGTAAGATACACATACAGTTATGAAATAGGCCTAGTTTATTCACAATCAAAGTCTTTTTTAACAGACTTTTCTGTGTGAACACACTGACTCATTTTTAGTTTTTAGTCATGGAAACCAGGAGTATATCTAGATGTATCTGGGAGAAAAGAAAGATCACCTGATTTTACTATTCTGTTTTGTTTTGTTTTTTAACAAAATACTCAGTTGACAATGATTCAAGGTTCCCAAGATTGACTGTGATAGTGGATTATACTGTAAACTAACTGCACGCCCTGCAGTTCTCTGGGTCCCTGAGTGCAGCACCATCCTGTATGTTGGCATGCATTGCTTTCCTCACATAATCCTTTTTCTTTAGAAGTTTTATCACACTAGCCAGTCATCTGATCCTGAAGTTCTTTCAATTAGAAGGTGTTTGGTTTTTCCCTTTTCCTCCATCTTGGTCTGGTAGTCATTCAAAGACTTAGTGTGCTTTGCATGCATATTTTAGTTGGAATGGCAATAGTTTGTTTGTTTTGAGCATGTCTTTTAATTTTTATTTGCATAATCCTAATTTCAATTTCCTTTCTTTCCTCAATGTCTACTGCACCTTGTTTCGCCTCCTCCATTCATCTCGACGCCATGGTTCTGCTGCTCCATAACAATGCATTATGAACTTGCCACTCCCATATGCAATACCTACCCTCCCTCCAACCTACATCCTTCCATCAATGGGCATCATTGTCCCCAAAACAATATGTTGTTGGATGTCACAATGCTTATTGTCCAATTAGGGTGAAAATTCCTTCCTACAGGCAACTGTGGCAAAACTGGGGCCTCTCCCTCGTGTTCTTGCTGATATTACCAAGTCTCTGAGTAATCCTACACCAATACAACAGCAATTGAGACGCTTTGCTGAGCATAGCTCCAGTCCAAATGTCAGTGGAAGCCTCTCCTCTGGGCTGCAGAAAATATTTGAAGACCCCACTGACAGGTATGAAAGAGGATTTGAATGCTGCACCCCAAACGGATAATGTTTAGATTTGACAGAAAACTGTTTATCTTACTTTTTAAAGTTCACAACTTACAAGTTATGAGCAACTAAAAAGAATCATCTTTGGTAAATCCAATTGTTTGTCACAATGCACAATAGCCAGTATTACTTTATTTTCCAGGATGATAATGTAGCATTTTATAATGTAAATATACACAAAGATCTATTGATCTATTTGTCATGTTTCATGGAAGATAAGGGCTTTTATAAAATTGATGTTTTCATATGATCTACTACTCTCTAGACCAGTGGTTCTCAACCTTTCTAGTACTATGAACCTTTTATATGGTACTTCATGTTGTGATCCCCAAACGTAAAATTATTTCCTTGCTACTTTATAACTGTAATTTTGATAATACTATGAGTCAGAATGTAAATATCTGATATGCAGGATATCGGACATGCAGCCTGCAAAGTGTTCAAGACCCACAAGAACTGCTGCCCTAGACCCTCAGTTGAAACTGTTTTAGAGTTGTCTAAATCTGCTGGATGGGCAGATAAAATGTTGAGCCTTCAACTTTGTGCTCTGAATTGGAACAATTTATACCTTTAACAGTGAGCAGAGGTTCTCAAATAGTTTAGGACAGAGCTAAGTATAAGTTAGGATGTTTGAGAGAGTGTTCCAACTCATTAAAAACTGAAGACAGTGGTGGGTAGTGTGTTATTTTCTTCCTTTGGGGGAAAAATAGTAATGCTAGATTTTATTCTAAGAATTGCAGTGATGAAATCTGAGTTTCTAAGGAAATACAACTTCCATAGTGGGCCTGTGAAACTTCAAAATAGTTCATATGCCCAAACTAAAAAACTATTATGTTGAATTTGATTCGAGAGTAATTAAAGGGCCATTCCTTTTCCACAGTGATTTGCATAAACTAAAATCTCCAAGCCAGGAGAACACAGACAGCTATTTCAGAGGGAAAACATTGTTGTTGGTTCAGCAAGCCTCCTCCCAGAGCATGACTTACTCTGAAAAGGATGAAAAGGAAAGCAGCCTTCCTAATGGTCGGAGTATCTCCCTCATGGACCTCCAGGACACTCATGCTGCTCAGGTGGAGCATGCATCTGTCATGCTTGATGTGCCTATGCGTCTTGCAGGAAGCCAGCTTTCTATAACCCAGGTGGCTAGCATCAAACAACTTCGGGAAACCCAGAGCACTCCCCAGAGTGCACCTCAAGTAAGAAGACCCTTGCACCCTGCCTTGACCCAGCCGGGAAGCCTCCAGCCCTTATCATTCCAGAACCCTGTCTATCACCTCAACAATCCAGTTCCAGCAATGCCAAAGGCCTCTGTAGATTCTAGTTTGGAGAACCTAAGCACTGCCAGTTCTAGAAGCCAAAGCAATAGTGAAGACTTCAAACTCAGTGGACCCAGCAACAGCAGCATGGAAGATTTCACCAAAAGAAGCTCACACAGTGAGGACTATTCCAGGCGGCACACTGTACCGGATAGACACATACCTCTTGCTCTGCCACGACAAAACAGTACTGGGCAGTCCCAAATCCGAAAAATGGACCAGACTGGGTTAGGTGCCCGAGCCAAAGCGCCCCCATCCCTCCCACACAGTGCTTCCTTACGTAGCACAGGGAGCATGTCAGTGGCATCTGCAGCGCTGGTGGCTGAACCTGTACAGAACGGGAGCCGGTCCAGGCAGCAGTCATCTTCCTCCAGAGAGAGCCCTGTCCCCAAAGTGAGAGCGATCCAGAGACAGCAGACGCAGCAGGTACAGTATACTAGAAGGCTTTGGCTCCTGCTTAGATGGACACCTGGGCTGTTTTTTATATATAAAGTGTCCAGAAATCAAACCAGTAACAAGTTTTCCCACTTAAGAATGTTTCTGTAACCTGTAAACAGAAGAAAGAAATGGAAAGGTTTGGAAGGTTCTGACTAGGTGAGAGCAGAACAGAGCTTGACTGGTTACTCTTAGGAGATTCTGACAAACACTCAGAAGGCCAGAGCTGTGGCACTGAGTGAATAATTTTACAATTATATAAGAGACCTACAGTCAAGATCAACTATATTTGGGGAATCTGGAAATTAACCCTTCCTAATTTTTTCCTTAAGCTTCCAAAATATAGTTTTGCATTGTGAGCTTACAGTTTAATATAACTTCTCCACTTCATCCCCCAACTCCCTATGGAAATGCCAGGTCCCATGTGCCTTTTCCTGGAAATAGCTCAAAAAATAAACAACTGAACACCTAGAGAGGCAAGGGAAAAAGGAAGAAATATAAAAACACAAGGGGTTGGTAAGTACTTGAAATACTCGCACATCCTTTATATTACCTCATACATGGACAAGTCCAGCTAATGTCACACCAATCCTGATACAACATTTTGAAATTTTATTTATTTGCCCAAAATGCAATCATTACTTATTTTATGACATTTTGAATCATTTGTACTATTTTACCCTTAAATATGAACTAATAACTTTAGCGGTCACTGCTCATCTGATTCATCTAAAAGAGTTTTTTTCCTTTTTAAAAAAATTGTACTTGTGAAATTTTTTAATATATATTCATTTTATTGTTTATTTACTTACTTTTGGAGACAGGTCTCACTGAGTAACCTTGGCTGGCCTTGAGTTCACAGAAATCAGGCTGCCTCTGCCTCCTGAGTACTGGGACTATAGCTTTGCACCACTATCCCTGGCTTGAATATTTTTATTCTTTGAGAGTAATGTATTTTGATCAAATCCATCCCCATTGCCTCCCCGGAGCCCTTCCCCTATCCTCCAACACCACTTTTTATCTCAGTTCCATCTGTTCACTCTCTCAAAAAAACATTGAGTCCACATAGGTATAGAACTACCTGCTGGAGCATGGGTAGTCTTTCAAGCACCATATCCCTAAAGACAACTTATCCTCCCTCATCCAGCAACAGGGAGGTGCCAGTGGCATCTCAGCTATTTCTAGGACTTAATGATCCCTTCCCCAGCTATGCTGGGATTTGGGCTCACTTAATCTTGTATGTACAGCCACAGCTGCTACGAGTTAATGTATGTGGTAGCTCTGTCATGTCCAGCAAATAATGGTTCACAAAATCAGCTACATCTGTTTCTTACAGTCTTTCTGCCTCCTCTTCCATAATGATCCTGAGCCTTGAAGAGGAGTGATGTGTGCTATTGATGTCCCATTTAGAGCTGAGCACTCCAGAGTCTTTATTCTCTACATACTGACCAGTTATGGGTCTCTGTATTAACCACCATCAACTACAAAAAGAAGCTTCTCTCATTAGGGATAAGAGATGCACTATGAATTGGTACAAAGATAAGAAATTGAGGGTGTCAGTTTCATACTGTGTTCATTTAGCAGAATAATATTAGATTGTTCCCTAAGGCCTATTACCTAACCAGTGATCGGATCTGAGCCCAGTTAATAGTATGGGTTCTATCTATGGAAGAGGCTTTAAATCCCAAGAGATTGGTTGCTCTTCAGACATATCATGTGTGTGTGTGTGTATGTATGTATGTATGTATGTATGTATGTATGTATGTATATGTGTGAAAGTGTCAGGCTCCCTGCAACTGCAGTTACAGACAGTTGTGAGCTTCCATGTGGGTGCTAAGAACTGAACCAGGGTCCTCTGGAAGAGTAGTCAGTGCTCTGAACCACTGAGCCACCTCTCTAGCCCTGTTCTTTAGACATATCTTGCCAAGCCAGTTGTTACTGTAACTCCCAGGTTTCACAGCTCAGAAAAATACTGATTACTTTTCCCCCAGTAGCATACATAGAACCTTCCAGCACTATGAAAACTGGTTGATAGGGATGAAGCTTCCAGATCAGTATCAGCTTGATTGTCCTATGACTCAAGTGTCTTCAGCAGTAGGTCATCTTTCGGGTTCTGAAGGGAAACCAAGAGCAGTGGAAATAGCCTCTAATATTTGGCTGGCATCTTTGGGGTCCTGCTAAGCAACATTTCAAAAAGAGGTAACCTGGCCTGGCACTGGCCCCTTTATTTACCAGGGTCTGGTGCCTGAGAGAGGTTCAGCTTTCTCTTCCCATGCACCACCCATATCAATTAACTCCATTTAAATTCCTCATAAAAATAGGGGTGTGTGTGTGTGTGTGTGTGTGTGTGTGTGTGTGTGTGTGTGTGTATGTGTGTGTGTGTGTGTAAGCATCTACCATAGTAGGTTTCCATGGGGCATTCTCAGAGGTCTTTAGTGTTAGTTATCCATACTACCTACTCTATGGTCCCTTCCCATCCCCCACCACCATTCAACCCTTCCTGTCTCATTATTTTCTCTTTCCACCTTCATACTACTGGAAGTCTATTCCCCTTCACTTGAAGTCCCTCCACACAGCCTCTTAACTACTTTTGTGACTTCTATGTATACTATGTGTATATACAGTATACACATATGTGTATATTTTCAATAATTCTTTGAGAACTTAATACATGAAAACAATGTATTTTGATCATATTTTTCTACCACACCCATTTCCTCACCATCTACCTTCCATCCCCTTCCAACTTCATGCATTGCCTATGTACTCATAGATATAAGGTCATCCACTAGAGTGAAGTATACCTACTAGGGGCCACATTCCTTTAAAAATAAAATTTAACCTTCCTACCAGAACCTATCAACTGTTAATAGGTATCTAGCTTTGGGTGAGGGCTAGTTAGCCCCTGCCTCCTTTCGTGGAATTTTTTTGAAACATATTTATACTGTACACAGTCTAAAGAGTTCATGATTAAAAGAATTCTATGACATAACTTTTAGGGAAAAAATAGTTGCTCAGGAAGAATATAATAAAATCTCAACTCATCTGTGTAATACAGCTAGAATTTTACAGGGAGGTATTTCCTGAATTAGTTAGCTCTGCCTTATTGCTACTAAGGTCAGAACCCTTTCCCCTGCCCTTGCATTTGTATTTACTTTTAAAGTTGAACATTTGCAGAATCCTTAGATATAGAAGTTGAGGATAAGCTTAAACTTCAGGAAGCTGACTTCTAAGAAAGAATGTCTCTGGTGATATACTTTCTGGAGGAGCAAAGCTCCTCAAGGTTAAATTCTTCTTTTTAGTTTATTGTATTTCACAAGATTGTACTGATTCATTTGATCTAATAGGATCATCTAAGGAAAAATCAGGCATATTCCTGTATTGTGGTTTAATAAGGATCAGGATAAACAGATAGGCCGAATAGATGTTTATTCAGGGAGAAATAACTTACAACATAGACAGATGAACACCAGCAGGTTCCTGGTCCCAAGGATGCCTCCGGATGTTCTCCTGTCCCTGTGCTGCAAGCAAAAGAGCTCCCAGAGCCCCTTCCTCAGACTTAGTTCCCCCAGGTAACATCTGCCCCATCCCCACTCCCAATGGGCGTGGTCTGTGCCACAGGTGTGGACAAAGTGAATATCTCACTACAGGGAGGGGGTTACCGAGGATTGAACTCTGTTTACGGTCTTTTGTCATGTCTGAAGAAATATTCATTCAAACCTTTGCTTATTTTTCTGCTGAGCTCTCTCTGCACTGTTGTGAGTAAGGTTTTTCCTGCCTACCTGGACCTACTGTGGCACCAGCCCCAATTAACACACAGAGAGTCTGTATTTGATATAATGCTGTTGTCCAGTTACTTGTGTCTTAAGTATTAACCTATTTCTATTAATCTAAGTATTTCCACGTGGTCTCATCTTACTGGAGAGTGGGGCTGGCATCTGCTCTCTCCAGACTCTACATGCTGACTCCTCCCTACTACTTCCTCGAATCCTCCTTGTCTCCTAGTCCCGCCTATCTTACTTTCCTATTGGCCAACAGTGCTTTATTCATTAACCAATAAAAGAAACATATTTACAGAATGACATCTCCCATCATCTCCTCTTTTCTGTCTAAAATAAAAAGAAGGGTTTTAACCTTAACATAGCAAAATATATCACACAGCAGTTATCAAATAAGAATCACAGTTAACAATATTTAGTCCATTAACATTTAGTAAGATTTAAAGAAAATATTCTATCATCTATCCTATCTGTGTGAGTCTAAAGTCCTATATGTAACTTATCTTTAATCTTAACTAAGGAAAACTATAACCATAACTATCTGTCTTCAACTCCTTCAAAGACCACAGAAGGATAATATATACTCTAGAAATGACAGAGACAACTCACTGCCTGATCAGTCACCCGAAGTTCTTCTGTAATGTTCCAGCTTCAGCCTATAGGCCATGGTGTCTCGCACACTCCTCAGCAAAGGAGGAAATTAAACTGTCTACCTGTATTCACAGTTTGTCAGTCACTTTTCTCTGTGTCCAGCAGACTGTCTGGCAGACTCTTCCATGAAGCAGGAACTCTGTAGCAATGTCCATCTTGTATCAGCAGTCACTTTCTTGTAGGTCCTGCATGTCCAGTTTATATAGTTAAACAGTCCAGACAAGAGTAATGTCTTGCCCAAATGGCTAGTCTTGCCATATTGGGAGTAAACTCCATAGCATGTTTCCTTCGATGTCCATCTTCCTTTCTGACACATGTGGTGTTGCCAGGAGCAGTTGTGCCTCATTGTCAAGAAAACCCTAAACCATTTTAAATGCCATATTCTGTAGGTCTTTGAAAGATTTGAAGAATGCCTATTTCTCTCAAATACATCTCTGTATATCTAGAAAATCTTACTCACCTAAGTTTTGACTATTATAGGTAACTATAATCTGTACTAAATTATACATTACATTTTTAAATGAGCTATATAAACACAATACCTAAACAAGAGAAATATAC